TATATATAGATATATACATATATATATATATATATATATATATAGTATTCTGTTTCTGTTTTAAAATATTTTTTCAAGAAAATGGTTAAATTAGAGTGGGTTTTGTTGGTTTGTTGATTTATGTTAGGCGGAGATGAAATTCAAGGATAAATGGCTTGCCTGTGTTACTCTTGGTGAACAGACCTTCCGCACCGCCATCTCTGATCAGTTGAGTCCTTTTTTTATTTCTTCATACACACAAAAAAAATTGAAAAAATTAAAAAAAATTAATTTTTTTTTTTTGATAATCACATTGTATTCAGAAGTACATTGATCAAAGCATATAGTGACATAACAACATAGTGTCAAGCAAACAGTTCATTGAATAAAAGTACGAGCGGAACGAGGGGTCGGTCAAATGGTTTTATCTCATATCGTATGGAATAAACTTGTTTAGGAACGAATGTGAAATGAATTACGAACTTGTCGTTTGAGTACACTGTATTGTGTTGGAAAGGAGATGAAATTATTAAACTTGTTTAGGAACGACTATGAAATGTTTATTGTTCGTGAAGGGTCTTCCACCTAAACAAAGGGTGGTGTGTTCTACATAAAGAACTTGTCTCAATCATCCCGATTAGCTGTAAAATCGATTTGTATTGTTTTCGGATGGTGTGTTCTATTTGAAAAGAATAGTTCGTGTGTATATACGAGGCACTTTCTTTATGGAATCAATAAGTTGTTTGGAAATAGTTCTGTTGAAAACGAATTTATTTGGTAAAGAATATTATGTATCGGAGATTACATCATTAGTTTCTTGCAATTATTCTTGCTCGATTTTGTTGTCCCTAAAATTAATTCGTTATTCAGTAATTGTTTGATTCTCGTACCACACTTCTCATTAAAAGTAGTCTTTGTTCAGTTGATTTGTCAAATAACCGAAACCCGAAAACCGGAAAACCCGAAACCCGAAAACCCAAAAACTCGAAAACCCGAAATATGTCTTCCATGACACAACACTATTATGAAATGTTATTAAAGGTGATTGCTACTTTATCTTGTTTCACTATAACTCAATATTATCTCCCTATACAGTCGTTTTTTTACTGTCGTTTTTTTTCTTCTTTGGTGCAGAACCAACCAACCTGCCTGGAATTCTGTGAGTATTGCTGAACAATTATTTTATTCGATGCATTAAAGTACATGTTACTTAGTGCTTATTTTCAATTACGTCATTGAGGCATGGAATACGTTATTGTGATCGGTCAACAACCGAATGCTCTTGTTTTTGAGTTGTATGGGTAAATAATTGTGGCAATCTAGAGAGTATAATATCTGTTTTCAATTTGGTTCCTTGCATTCTCGTTAGGCCTCGTTTGGTTGAGGAGATTAGCCATGATTAACGAAATGATCGGACTTTGTTTGATGTTTGGTATCACCTAATAACTTCCCGGGTCATTTCTTTGTGCCTCTGAATAGTGTATTTTAGTTATATCATGTACAAAAGCATCATGAAAACCAGGTTTCCCGTCAACTAAGAAGATTTTTGGTATATTCGATAGCTTTTTCCATATAACATTTGTTGTATGGTGAACAACTGTTTCATACTCTACAGGAGAAAAAGCTTCTTTTGGAAAAAAACGGGGCTCATGTTGCAAGAATATCTGTATATGAGGTCTATATTTTACACTCTCTCTCTCTCTCTCTCTCTCTCTCTCTCTCTCTCTCTCTCTCTCTCTCTCTCTCTCTCTCTCTCTCTCTCTCTCTCTCTCTCTCTCTCTCAATATGTTAATAAGCCGACTAATACTATCAAATTGTTTTGGACGCAGACGAACAGAATGTCGAAAAACAATATTATTGGTCTTTGCGAGGTTGATCTGTATGACTTTCTTACTCAGGTAAGTTGTCGTGCACTTTCTTACAAGGTTTTCTTTGCGTAATATTTTAATTGGTGGATACGTTAGTGAATGGAGGATTTGCTTTCGACATATATAATT